TGACCAAACCATCTAAGACGACTTTCTCTAATTTTGTCCGTCAGAGGAGCTACACCAACCCTATCACGAATATACTCGTTTTGCATTTTGTCTCTAAGTGTAAAGCCACTCATCCACCTAATCATTCTCATCTCGGCAACACTTAACTTAGCATTATGCTTCTCCTTTAAAGGTCAACATTCAACGCCATAGAGCATTGCAGGTCTCACCACAGTCTTATAAAATTTTCCTTTCAGTCTAACAGATACTTTTCTATCACACAAAAGACCCGAAGCATTCCTCCCCTTCAACCAACCAACTTGAATTATACTATTAACATGCCCATCTATATCACCATCGCTCTAAACAACAGACCCGAGATATCTCAATTGTTTAATTGTTCACACCTTTTAAGAATTTGATCACCCAAAGTTACACTTCTGTCGCTAGAGCTACTACTACTAAAATTACATTCCATGTATTCAGTTTCAATTCTACTCAAATGAAGGCCTTTAAACTCCAATGTAGACCTCCATAATTCAAGTTTTTCCTGAGTTTTTTCTCTCGTCTTATCCACCAGAAGGATACCATTAGCAAAAAGCATACACCAAGGTACATCCTCCTGTAAATGTCTAGCAAGACCATCCATAATTAAAGCAAAAAGGTATGGGCTTAAAGTCGGTCTCTGATGTAATCCAACAGAAATAGGAAAATATTTGGTCAATCCTCCTTTAGTTCGAACACAATTAACAACTCTAGTATACATATCTTTAATGACTTGAATATAAGTCGTATCAACACCTTTCTTCTCAAGAAGTCTCGAAAGGATATCTCTTAGAACCTTTTCGTAAGTTTTTTCTAAACCAATAAAAATCAAATGTAGATTCTCCATATTATCTCTAAACTTCTCTATCAAACCTCTCAATAAATGTATAGCTTCCATAGTAGACCTTCCCGGCATAAATCCAATTTGATTATGAGAAATCTTTGTAATACGTCTTAATCTATGTTCAATTACCCTCTCCCATAATTTTAAAGTATGACACATCAACTTAAACCATCTATAATTTGCAAACTCTTTTGCATCCCCTTTATTCTTAAAAATGGGGACCAAAATACTCTTCCTCTACTCCTTATGCCTTTTTTGTAGTTTTTGAAATAATATTAAAGAGTTTAGTAACCCAAGAAACTATCAAATCTCCTAAATATTTTCATACTTCAATTGGAATATCATCAGGCCCTACAGACTTTCCACACTTATTTTTCTTTAAAGTCTTCTCAAACGCCCTACAGACTTTCCACACTTATTTTTCTTTAAAGCCTTCTCAAACTCTTTTTTACTAATGTGACGATAAAAATGAAATGTTTTATTATTACTAATGATATTAAGATCACTAAGTTCAGGAGCTTCACTGAAAAGTTTATCAAAATAACTCACACACATTTATTGAATATCTTTTCTAAGAAATGCACTTCTCAAAATAACTCACACACATTTATTGAATATCTTTTTTAAGAAATGCACTTCTTTATTTTCATCTTTAATATATTTTACTTGAGTTAAATCTTTATTTGAGTTAAATCTTTATTTAGTTAAATCTTTATTTTTATTTTTTCTTTGTTAGGCTAGTTTATACATATATTTTTCACCCTTCTCAGTATCTAATCTATTATAAAGATCATTAAAAAAACAATTTTCAGCGTCACAAATTGCTTGTTTAGACTTCCTGCAGGCCGTTTGATATTTTCCCAATTCTCTGAGCTTTTACATTTAAACTAATTTTTATAACATAACTTCTTATATTTTATCTCTAGTTTATATTACTTGGAATTGTAATATATTTTTTTTCTCTAGATTCTACTTCCTCTAATTTTTTCTTAATGAAGCATTCTCCTTGTTATGCTTCTGGTTCTCTTCCCTAAACGCCAGACATGTATCTAATTAAGCATCTTCAACAACAATCAATGAAGTAGTCTCCCAATGTTCCAATTGCTCTTGTAATTGACCACTTACTAGGCATAAACAAATAATTTGAACTCCTATAAACATATCCCTCAAAATATCCAAGGTGTCAACGTGTCAGCATCCAAACAACCTGTATAACTATGCTCCTTGTTAAGGAAGATAACATGAATATAAATTGTTTAGCTTTACATTGCAGAGACTAATAATAAGCATTTACAATAATTTATACAGTTGATCTCCAAGTTCATAGTTAAAGGTTCAAAAGATGTTTCCAAGCTCATAAGATAGCTTTCAGAGTAGTGATATGCAAAATGGGAAAACACTGACTATAGATTTATACGCTTAACAATGGAAACAACATAGCGGGTGCTATAATGTTCCTTCTAGTCCTAGCTGAAACCGATGGAATCATTTAGCAAAAAGGAAGTCATGGTTTAAAGCCGTATCAAAACAGCTTGACAAGAGTGCATCAAGTAGCGAAACACAATGTCTGGGAGGCTAAACAAATTCAAGCATCAAATGATCGTATATCGAGGAAAACACGGCCAAACAAACTAATAAACCCATAGCAATGCATTCATATTGTCCTCGGGTATAAATTGATCCAAGAAAACAATCACAAATAGGCCAATAAAAATTAAAATCTCCATTCATATAATTTTCAACCACACCGATCCTGTCACCAGCCTATCTCAACCCTAAGGAACAAAAGACAAATTAACTTAGACACCAGTACCGTTCAGAAAGAAACAAAAATAACGAATCAACAGATAACCGGGCATACACCAAAGGAGGTAACAAAATATTACACAGAAGCAATGGCCGAAAAGCCTCCATCTCCAGTAATCCCAAACCAATCAAACAACAAATTAAGCAGGGCATAAGGGTGTTACCGCAGAATTAAAAAAGCGCAAATCCACACATCAATCTGGACAACAGGAACAAGCTCTTGATCGGAGAATGAATTCTACTTTTTCCGGTAGAGAGCAAGCAATAAAGAAGTGCAAGCCTTGAATGAAAGAGAGATAGAAGAGAGGGGATCCGCACCTAAGAGCAGCTTAAGATGATAAACGCCGACGATCGCCGAGGGGACGGGGAAAGGAATAGGTCGAGAGGGAGGTTCAGGAGGCTTCCAGTTGGCTTTGCTAAGGAATCAGCTCAGCTGATTGATGGCACGTGCGATGTTAAAATGTGAGGAGAAAGTTTCTCACGTGGGAACAGAACTTCAAAAGCCAAGATGCATCATGCACTAGATTGTTGATCATACATACATTCAATGTGAAGGAATTTATATGGATACCACACATTTTTTATGTATTTACATATCTAGCATCAAGTTTAATATTTGTATACATAACACTCATATTTTTAATATTATACCATATAAATGTTTACATGCCAATCACCCAAGGTACTCATATTTTTAATATTATATTGTAGGGGTTGTTAAATACCAACCAAGTAAAAGCATTAAATATATCATTTTAACCAACTAAGTTATAAATATAATATTTTAACCACGACAAAATATTTATTCAAAAACTTTATTAGTGGGTTTTTGGAGCATGACTGTAACGAAAAAATTCGTTAAAATATAATATTTAAGGTTCAGGTCATGGTTTAAAAAGTCAATTGGATTGGTCAGTTAGGCTGGTTGGACGGTGAACCGGTCATTCAACCGGTCAGGTCCAAGCTCAAAACCATTTTTGCATATGCCAACTTGTCTAAATATTATACAAATTTAGTCTTTTAATTTAAGTTAGATGGTCAGAAATAAAATATTTAAATAAAAAATAGAGAAAATGTCGTATCAAAGATTTTTTATTTAGAATATTATTCAAAATATTCAATAGTATTGTCTTAAGTTAAATATTATTTATTAATTTAATAAAAAAAATTTAATATATTATTATTTTATTGCATCATCCGGTTCAACTTCCAATTTAAACCTGATTGAACCATTGAACCTTAAACATTTACTTTTTTTTATTTGAAGTTCGTTTCGATTTTTGCAATGTATATTTGGATGGTTAAAATGTTATATTTAATATTTATGGAGGTTCGTATCTAAAAACCCCTATATCAGATCACTATTACTAACTTTTTAAAAATTCAAGAGCATGTTTTTATGCATAAGTTTATGAAACCAAAATATTATAAATGCAAATCTGAAATTGTAGATGTTAGATATCTAAATACATAAGAATTATAAGGTATTTATGTAAATTTCTCCATTTTTTTAGCTCTAATCTACATATTTTACTCTTAAGTTTAAGATGAATTTGAATGTAATTTAAAATTCAAATTTATATTAATTTTTTTAATAGTTTTTTGTTAAATTCAATACGTTATAATATATACTTAAATATAATTATTATATCATTATATAATATAGTTATTATATTTAATTGCATTTATGTTTTTATCAAAATTGATACAATTC